AGATGATTGTAAGGTTCTCCTGCTCCACCCGCCGTAACAGACCTTTCACTCTCTGAACTATGACTTTTTCCGAGCCCAAGCCCCTCCCAAAAGCTCTCTCCCTCTCTCTCTCTCTCTCTCTCTCTCTCTCTCTCTCTCTCTCTCTCTCTCTCTCTCTCTCTCTCTCTCTCTCTCTCTCTCTCTCTCTCTCTCTCTCTTTCCCTCTCTCTGATCTTTGACCTTATCTGTTCCTCCCGTGCTCCGGTAGCAAGACCTAGCTCGACGCTGCATGCAACCCGCCGCCTCGTTTGCGAATCCTCTTCGGTATCTTGTCTTCCTCTTGTCCTCCAAGGTCCCAAGAAGCTGCATATTGACCTTGCCGTAACACAACTACCAATGCCCTAGAACGAGACCTATTGACCAGGTCATATCGCAGCTACCAAGGCTCCAGAAAGAGGCATATTGACCTGTTCATAAAGCAACAAGAAGCCAATAATTTCCAAGGTAACTGGTATGGAGTATGTGTTCAAGAGGGTCGGGCGTCGCCATAGTTCAAGAGAGATCAGCGGACCCCGTCTTGTAACGAACCCCTACGACGATTAAGCACTGGCCACGGATAATTTTTTTTTCTGACAGTGTAAAACAGTACATGGGAGGAAAAAACTGAACATGGGAAAATAAACATATTTTTTTGTGTCATACTTAACCTATAGCATAGAACCAATGAGACGTGCCTGAGCGCTTTCGTCTTCTTCAGCGCATAATATTTATCTTTAGCCCTCAGAGATTAAAGGATTTCGAGGGTTATCGCAACATTTACGACTGGACGATAGCTATCCAAATATTGCCATTCCAACTACTGGAAGATAACAATCCCTATATCGCAGCTCTTACGTCTGAACGATAGCTATTAATATATCGCAGCTTTTACTTCAGGACGTTATCTACGCATATATCGCATATTACGTCTTGACGTTAGCAATCCATATATCGCATATTACGTCTTGACGTTAGCAATCCATATATCGTATCTTACGTCTAGATGTTGAATATGCATAAATCGCATCTACGTCTAGACGTTAACAATGCATATTTCAAGCTGAGAAACGCGCTGTCCGAATTTATTCTCACGCACGGCGAGTGTACGAATTTATCTCTGCGTCAAGAGAGGTCTAAATTTAACCCCCTTGAAGGCTGTTGTTAAATTTAACCCTTGGGTGTCCGGAATTACCTCTGAGGTTTAGAAATAATAGCTTTTGCCTTCAGTGTTGTGATCAGAAAACACATTGATCGGCTGTTTTTTGCTCCAGTGGGGTGTCTTCTTCATCAAAACATATTGATCAGCAACTTTTTATAGTCTACAGATGGGTAAGAGGAACAGGCGACTTTTGGCTCCTGTGATCAGGCTTAGAGCTTTACTTTCCCATAGCTCATGGTGAGCTTCACCTACTTGCTTCCCTGGAACACGACCCGCAAGTCGGTTAAGAACCAGGTGCCCAATTACTGCTGGGTGAACAGAGGCGTATTGTTAAGGATTGGGGCCCAGTCAATCCTCTCTCCGGTCAGGACTCGAAGACCTGGTGGCAAATGGCTCGGGAGTGTATTATCGCAGTAGCTTAATCACTGCAAGCTTAATTGCAGTAGTTAAGCTGTCTGTATTATTGGTCAGTAATATTAATCTCTGAGTAAAATTTCACGTTCTACTCGATCGATTGATAATTTTTTCTTCTTTGTCACTAACCGAGCACAATATTGATGGGTTGGTTATACTGGATAGGCCGTAATATGTTGGTTATATTCAATTGGTTATAATGGGTTTGTCAGGTTGGATAGTCGTATTGACTTGCGTAGGTAGCAAGTAGGTTGCAATGTATAAGAATAAATGTAAAGGGAGTAATGTATAAGCAGTAATGTATAGGGAATAATGTATAAAAAGTAATGGATTGGGGCCCATATTTAATAGATCATAATATATTATTATACACAGATATTCACATATTATCTTCATGGCGTTGAGAGACAATTTATTTATATTGTTTCTTTTCACGTTATATAACTAGCTGGCAAGTTATTCATAGAAATAAATATCCGGTTGTGAGGATTAGTGATCGAGATAAACCGTTCTAACACTAGGCTGGTTAAAGCAGCGGCGGTCCTCGCACTAGGCTGGTTAAAGCAGCAACCCGTCCTCACACTAGGCTGGTTAAAGCAGCGGCGGTCCTCGCACTAGGCTGGTTAAAGCAGCAACCCGTCCTCACACTAGGCTGGTTAAAGCAGCGGCGGTCCTCGCACTAGGCAGGTTAAAGCATCGGCCGTCCTCGCACTAGGCTGGTTAAAGCAGCGGCCGTCCTCGCACTAGGCTGGTTAAAGCAGCGGCCGTCCGCGCACTAGGCTGGTTAAAGCAGCGGCGGTCCTCACACTAGGCTGGTTAAAGCATCGGCCGTCCTCGCACTAGGCTGGTTAAAGCAGCGGCCGTCCTCGCACTAGGCTGGTTAAAGCAGCGGCGGTCCTCACACTAGGCTGGTTAAAGCAGCGGCGGTCCTCGCACTTGGCTGGTTAAAGCAGCGGCGGTCCTCACACTAGGCTGGTTAAAGCAGCGGCCGTCCTCACACTAGGCTGGTTAAAGCAGCAACCCGTCCTCACACTAGGCTGGTTAAAGCAGCAACCCGTCCTCACACTAGGCTGGTTAAAGCAGCGGCCGTCCTCACACTAGGCTGGTTAGAGCAGCAACCCGTCCTCACACTAGGCTGGTTAAAGCACCGGCCGTCCTCCCCAGACGCATTCATCAATTTAACATACTCTGTATTAAAAATTGGTTTGTACTCATATATTCATTAATATTATTATACATAACAATTTTATGTAAAGTTAGGCGTAGGTTAGGTTAGGTGTTTAGGTTCTGTTGGCGATTATTTGCATTTGTAGTACTTGGGTGAAGCAGTTTTAGAATTCTCCGCAGTCTTCTTCAGAAACTTGAGAATCCCAGCAGTCTCCGTGGTGTAGTGGTAAGACACTCGCCTGGCGTTCCGCGAGCGCTATGTCATGGGTTCGTATCCTGGCCGGGGAGGATTTACTGGGCGCAATTCCTTAACTGTAGCCTCTGTTTAACGCAACAGTAAAATGTGTACTTGGATGAAAAAACGATTTTTCGCGGCGGGGATAGTATTCCAGGGACCTGCCCGAAACGCTACGCGTACTAGTGGCTGTACAAGAATGTAACAACTCTTGTATATATCTCAAAAAAAAAAAAAATTGTGGTTCGAACAGAGAACTGAGCGAAGCACTTGCTCCGGAAGTGCTCGGACGTCATCATTTGTGAGTCGTGTGTGAACCGCTCTTCATTCATAAACAGGGGGGTTTGGCGGCTGGATTAACGAGCTTGGTTGTATGCGAGGACGGGCTGGTCGAGGAGACACATGAATGTGTTAAAAAATGCTTGACCTCAAACCCAAAGAAAACGACAATATATAACACCGTTGTTTTCATTTATCTGTGAACAGAATATACCTGTAAGACATTTAATTCTCAGCCTCAGAATTCAACTTGTCCTCCTACAAAGAACGTCGCATTTCGCACGTAGGCGTTACACAAGGCCAAAAATTGTCGTACTAGAAAATGGAAGGGGCTCGCAAAAGTGACGTTCTGTCCCGTTTTCTGTTTTGGGTCCTCTGGTAGGTTAGGATAAAGGCACTTTAATACGACCATTTCGCAACGTTGGGAAAGCTTAGGAGGACAGGCTGTGGAATTAGAAAGGTTGTATCGTGTTTCCTGCTGGCCGCCATGACCTGTTGTCCTGCACATGAGTAAATGATGATGAATACTTCCTGGATGGTGAATGCTTCCTGGATGGTGATGAATACTTCCTGGATGGTGATGAATACTTCCTGGATAATGATGAATACTTCCTGGATGGTGATGAATACCTCCTAGATGGTGATGAATACTTCCTGGATGGTGATGAATACTTCCTGGATAATGATGAATACTTCCTGGATAATGATGAATACTTCCTGGATGGTCATGAATACCTCCTAGATGGTGATGAATACTTCCTGGATAATGATGAATACTTCCTGGATGGTGATGAATACCTCCTAGATGGTGATGAATACTTCCTGAATGGTGATGAATATTTCCTGAATGGTGATGAATACTTCCTGGATGGTGATGAATACTTCTCATATTATGCCTTTGTCAGTCAAGTCTGATAATATTCTGTTGCCTCACTTTCCTATCAGATTATTACCATCAAGTTAAGTACGATTATTGAGACAATAAAAAATAACCTAAAAAAAATAGAGTAGTTTAAGCAATTCCTGCTCTTTTTAAATTATATTACCATACTATGCTATTAGAAGTATTATTTGTAATAATTTCTGCCTCATAAGAATATGGACTAAGCCTTTCAATTATATTTTTATTAGTATCTGTATTGTTTTTATTATATATATTTTTCTCGAACTCATCATTGACTTAAACATTAAACCAAACGAAGGTGCTTCATGAACAGCGGAACTTTCTCATTATTTTTAAAATCTTTATTGATAAAAATTAATTAAAATTTTGTCTTATCTGATGAATTAAATTAGGTATTATTAAAGTGAGAATAATGCTGGTATTCACTGCCACACAGGACAGAGGGTGATACACACGATGGAAGACAGAGGAGTTAGGGGGGACATGATCACCACATTCAATATTCTCAAGGGAATCGACAGGGTTGATAAAGACAGGCTATTTAACACAAGGGGCACACGCACTAGGGGACACAGGTGGAAACTGAGTGCCCAAATGAGCCACAGAGATATTAGAAAGAACTTTTTTAGTGTCAGAGTAGTTGACAAATGGAATGCATTAGGAAGTGATGTGGTGGAGGCTGACTCCATACACAGTTTCAAGTGTAGATATGATAGAGCCCAATAGGCTCAGGAACCTGTACACCTGTTGATTGACGGTTGAGAGGCGGGACCAAAGAGCCAGAGCTCAACCCCCGCAAGCACAACTAGGTGAGTTCACGAGTCTCAGCCTTTTGTGGGGTGGACACAGGGGCCACAGCTCTCACTATTAGCGCTATGTGGTCCCATAGGGGGGTGAGGGTGCTGGTAGAGTGTACGGCACTCACTATTCTCGTACACAGGTTCACTATCCTCGTACACAGGTTCACTATCCTCGTACACAGTTTCACTATCCTCGTACACAGGTTCACTATCCTCGTACACAGGTTCACTATCCTCGTACACAGGTTCACTATCCTCGTACACAGGTTCACTATCCTCGTACACAGTTTCACTATCCTCGTACACAGGTTCACTATCCTCGTACACAGGATCACTATCTTCGTACACAAGTTCACTTCGAGGGATTGCATTTTTCAGCTTTAAAGTTTTCTGTTGCTTATGACACATGACACACAACCATCTTGACACACACAACTATCATGATACACATCAATCATGACACACACACACACAACCATCATGACACACAACCATCATGACACACAACCATCATGACACACAACCATCATGACACACAACCATCATGACACACAACCATCATGACACACACACAACTATCATGACACACACACAACCATCATGACACACAACCATCATGACACACAACCATCATGACACACAACCATCATGACACACACACAACCATCATGACACACACACAACCATCATGACACACACACAACCATCATGACACACACACAACCATCATGACACACACACAACCATCATGACACACACACAACCATCATGACACACACACAACCATCATGACACACACACAATCATCATGACACACACACAACCATCATGACACACACACAACCACCATGACACACAACCATCATGACACACACAACCATCATGACACAAGCATCATGACACAACCATCATGACACACAACCATCATGACACACAACCATCATGACACACACACAACCATCATGACACACACACAACCATCATGACACACACACAACCATCATGACACACAACCATCATGACACACACAACCATCATGACACAAGCATCATGACACAACCATCATGACACACAACCATCATGACACACACACAACCATCATGACACACACACAACCATCATGACACACACACAACCATCATGACACACAACCTCATGACACACAACCATCATGACACACAACCATCATGACACACAACCATCGTGACACACAACCTCATGACACACAACCATCATGACACACAACCATCATGATACACAACCATCATGACACACAACCATCGTGACACACAACCATCATGACACAACCATCATGACACACAACCATCATGACACACAACCATCATGACACACACAACCATCATGACACACAACCATCATCCCGCCAAACACACACCGAAACTACGACGTTGGTACAACGTTTGAACAAGTTTTAACACCTAACCAGTTATAACAACCAATGTAGCAAGTTGTAACAACATTCTAATACATCATAAACACGTTAAGCCAAGATGTAACAACTTTATTACAAGTTGTAACAAGCGGAAAATAGAGACAGATTTGGTTTGTGTTTCCAGGGATGACACGTACCATGACAAGGGTGCCATGACATAGCCATAAAAAACATACCATGGCACTCCCATCATGACACACGCGCTGTGACACACAGTCATGACACCCATCACGACTCACGTGCCATGACACACCCATCATGACACAGCCTGGAGACACAGGAAAACAAAAGACAAAGCAGTGGGGCCGAAGCCTTCTCCAAGGTGTAGCTGCCAAAGCGGAAATATCTTACCTGTGAGTTTCCTGGTGGCTATAGAGCGCCTGGCTCACTAGGGCGTGTCCCAGATCACGATCACAGGAACACCAGGAGGAGGAGAGCAAGTGGGTTGGATGGGAAGGAGGAGTAGGAGGAGGAGGAGGAAGAAGAGAGGTGCTTCCTCTTAAATTCCTTTGTCTCTATCTCTCTCTAGTTAGTCCACTCAGCAGCGAGGAGAGTGTGAGTCAGTGGGACGGGGTCTGAGGCCAGCGAACACTTCACTCGAAGTACAAGAGGCGCGGAGTGTGGTATCCATGGTCCGGGCGGCGGAACAGTAGTGGAGGCGGAAGAGGAAGGCAGGAGGAGAAAGAGGAAGAGGAGCAACACCCAATTCGTCAATGAGAAGGAGGAATGGGGGGGGGGAGGGGAGGGGGGTTGACTGAGGTGTGTCCGAGGGGAGCCGTGGAGGAGGAGTAGGAGGGGAGACGAGAGTGTTCTTGTGACCGAGGGGTAAGGAGAGGGAGACAGCGGAAAGCCTTACAACGTGGGAGCCTCGCCACAACACCTCTCCCTCTACCGCTTTCCCACACTGGTGCTTCCTTGGCTGGGAGCGGAAGGGGGAAGGGGGGGCGTGTGGGAGGGGCGGTTGGCAGACGCCTCCAGCCACGCCTCCTGCCGTTACCGGCGGCCTGGCAGACTCAAGTTCGACTCCATTGACCTCCTCCCTCCCCGGCCGCCGGTATCGGCCGAGCGGGGTTATATCGGTAAGTTGCTAGACGCTATTTGTGGAAGGAAGTCTGCCGGATGTGAAGCTTCGCAACGCGCTATTGACTGTCCAGCGGTGACGTCATTGTTGGCATGGCAACGCGGGAGGGGGGGTGGGAGGGCGGGAGTATTGATCACGTCTCCGTCATGGCTCCCCACCTACTTCCAATTCCGTTACTTTTTAGTTTAATATGTTTCCGCCAGCGTCGTTAGTAACTTGTGACGCCCGGACCACGTGGCCGAGCGGGGGTCCTGTGTCCTGTGGTGGGGTCTGTGGCGTCGCGACGTCTCGGAGACGCAGTGTACGAGGTCATGTGTTGTGTCCTGGGGCACCAGACGTCATCAACGACGTACCCCGGACGAGCGTCATGAGCAATGGCGGCCACCGTCCTCAGGCGCTGTGTACGGATGTCGCAAGCGTCTTGACGCTCGTGGGCGTGCGTCACCGCCCACACACCCTGCGTCACCGCCCACACACCCTGCGTCACCGCCCACACACCCTGCGTCACCGCCCACACACCCTGCGTCACCGCCCACACATTCCCTCACCGCCCACACACCTTGCGTCACCGCCCACACACCCCCTCACCCTGCGTCACCGCCCACACACCTTGCGTCATCGCCCACACACCCTGCGTCATCGCCCACACATTCCTTCACCGCCCACACACCCTGCGTCACCGCCCACACACCCTGCGTCATCGCCCACACACCCTGAGTCACCGCCCACACACCCTGAGTCACCGCCCACACACTCCTTCACCCTGCGTCACCGCCCACACACTCCCTCACCCTGCGTCACCGCCCACACACTCCCTCACCCTGCGTCACCGCCCACACACTCCCTCACCCTGCGTCACCGCCCACACACTCCCTCACCCTGCGTCACCGCCCACACACCCTGCGTCACCGCCCACACACTCCCTCACCCTGCGTCACCGCCCACACACTCCCTCACCCTGCGTCACCGCCCACACACTCCCTCACCCTGCGTCACCGCCCACACACTCCCTCACCCTGCGTCACCGCCCACACACCCTGCGTCACCGCCCACACTCTCCCTCACCCTGCGTCACCGCCCACACTCTCCCTCACCCTGCGTCACCGCCCACATACACCCTCACCCTGCGTCACCGCCCACACCCTGCGTCACCGCCCACACTCTCCCTCACCCTGCGTCACCGCCCACACACTCCCTCACCCTGCGTCACCACCCACACACACCCTCACCCTGCGTCACCCCCACATACACCCTCACCCTGCGTCACCGTCCACACACTCCCTCACCCTGGGAAGGGTGTCACTCCTGAGGGCCTCTCTGCGGAGGGGGTGTGTGTGGTGTGGTGTGAGGAGGGCAGACATTCGTACTTCCCACCCTCCCTCCCTACCCTTCCTACCTCCTTCCCTCCCTCCCTCCCTCATTCCCTCCCTCCCTCCCTCCCTCCCTCAGCCTCCACATTCATTCATCTGCCTCACCTCCCCCCACCCCCACACCACAACCCTCCCCCCTCACAGTACGTGATTCCTGGAAACTCAACTACGTCACAGCACTCATTCTGTCCCAGCCACGCCACCTTAAACTATTACGTCAACCAGGGACCAGCTGACCCTACGTCACCTCTCCCCCGCTGGCGTACGCCGCGGCGTCAACTACGATGCCGTCGGCGTCAACTTGGCCGAAACGTCAACTGTGGTGTCGTCAACCAGCCTGCGGTAGCTGCCCTCCACTACTATGGTAGATCTGTTGCTACTGCTTGACTATGATACAAAAGTTATGTCGTCTCCTGCTCCTGGTGGTGGTGTTAGTGGTTGTGGTGGTGGTGTTAGTGGTTGTGGTGGTGGTGTTAGTGGTTGTGGTGGTGGTGTTAGTGGTTGTGGTGGTGGTGTTAGTGGTTGTGGTGGTGGTGTTAGTGGTTGTGTTGGTGGTGTTAGTGGTTGTGGTGGTGGTGTTAGTGGTTGTGGTGGTGGTGTTAGTGGTTGTGGTGGTGGTGTTAGTGGTTGTGTTGGTGGTGTTAGTGGTTGTGGTGGTGTTAGTGGTTGTGGTGGTGGTGTTAGTGGTTGTGGTGGTGGTGTTAGTGGTTGTGGTGGTGGTGTTAGTGGTTGTGGTGGTGGTGTTAGTGGTTGTGGTGGTGGTGTTAGTGGTTGTGGTGGTGGTGATACACACCTATCAGTGACAACGGGGAAGTGAGCTCTAGCTCTTCATCCCCCGCCTTATACTCACCTTGTTACACAGGTAGCGTCAGAGTTTAACTTTTCAGACGTTCGAATTGTTTGTTGAGTCTACCTTTAAAGTTGTAGATGGAGGTGGCTTCCACAAATTAATTTCTCAATGCTTTCCTCTTTCTGACTACCCAAACACTGCTCGAGTACCTCTTTACAGTTCTTCAACTCATTCATCTTTCCAGTTTCCTCTTATGTCCTCTTCTATTTAAATAGAGGACATAAGTGGAAGAGAGGCTTGTGTCCTCTCCTAAAGTAGGAGGCTGTCATTGTACTTGTTGTCAATTCCTCTCAGTATCTTGAATGTTGCGATCATGTTCCCTCTGTTTCTTCTCTCCTCTCTAGGATTGTGAAGTATAATTAACCATTTCTCATCATTCAGCCGTCGTAGCTTTGGAACCAATCATGTTGCAAACCTCTGTAGTTGTTCAATATTGGTTTTATACTTCTCGAGGAGTGGGTTCCAGGCCGGTGCCGCTCATTACAATATTAGTCCAACCTCTCCTCTTACAAAGAACGTCGCATTTCAGACGTATGTGTTACATAAGGCCAAAAATTGTCGTAATAGAAAATGGAAGCGACTGGCGAAAGTGACATACTGTTCCGTTTTCTGTTTTGGGTCCTCTGGTAGGTTAGGATATGGACACTTTAAACT